ATTTAGAGGAGGTTGTTGTTGTTGTTGTTTGCAAGTTTAATCAGGATGAATTGAAATATTTAACTTTAAAATTAGTTTACTGAACCTCAGTTCAGTTTAGTAATATTTATTAAGCATATAATACAATGCTACATGTTACAGGGGCGATAGAGACACAAAACTTTGAGGTTACAATCTACTAGGAAACTAAAGATAAGTGCTAAAATATTTATAATACAAGCTAGAATGTGGAAGAAAATTGAGGAGTGGCACAACTACACAGGAATTCAGATTTTTGGTTAGGGTGACCAGAGAAAGTCTACTACATTCAACAAACATTTACTGAAGACCCACTTTGTGCCAGGCACTATGCTAAAGGATAAGATTTTATTTATTTATTTAGAGAGAGAGCATGAGCTGGGGGAGGGGCAGCGGGGGAGGGCAAGGGGGAGTATCTCCAGCAGACGCTATGCTGAGCCGCCTTGGGGCTCCACACGGGGCTCCATGCCATGATCCTGAGATCATGACTGAGCCAAAACCAAGAGTTGGACCCTCAACCAACAGCCACCCAAGTGCCCCATGCCTGAGCGGATTCTTAAAGGTAGGAATAGTTCTGGTATTGCTTTGGCATCATAAGCCTACTCTCGTCCACCTCTCCCACTAATTACAACTAAAAACTCATTACAAAATACAGACAACCACTGCCTCAGGACTCTGAAAAGTAAAAGCTTGTGAAGGGAAGGCACAAGTTGGAAAAGAAACCATCCAGGGGATGGGCTTCCTGGCCTTTTTTCCTCTTTTTTCTTGTGGTTTTGTCCTGAGGAGAGGGCCCATGAGGGAACTGTTTGGCTGCATGAGTAGTTAACACTCCGATAAAAACCCTATCTCTCTATCCAGGGATACTGAGGGAAGGTCCAGGGAACTGAGAAAAGGGTCCTCTGTGAGTTGGGAAGTGAGTAGGGAGGAGGGAGAGGACAGGGTCACAGAAGGTGATTCCTAATTTTGTGTAGGAACCACTGTAAGTTTTAGGTTCAGGGCTGAGGTGCACTTGTCTGCAAGAGACCCAAAGCAGCATGGCACAGCAAAGGCTTTGACAACTAACAGTTACTCATGGGCCCCTGAGTGGTACATGTTCAGGACAGACCCAGAGCAACAGAGCAGAGGCTTTGAAAACTGAACTGAGATTGAAACCATCACAGAAGGTGATACAAAACCTGTAATGTGAACTCAATCAGGTTGATTGCCTGCTTAAACAAACATACATTCTCCAGAGGAGGATTTTAACAGGATCCAGAGGCAGCGCAATGTTAACTGTCACTATGTTCCGGAGGTGATAGAAAATGACTTGTGTAAAGATTAATAGGAGGAAACTTTGTTTAAAATGAAGTCAGGAGGCCAGCAGGGGGAGCTCTCATGCCCTGCCACTCGTGGTCAACTGCAGATCCAACAGCAGGAGACATAACTTGCAACCGGGCAAGTTGGGAACTACTTCTAAATACTACCTTACTATCCTAGCAGGAAGGAAGAGAGGTTTTCCTCCTCCTCTGGCAACAGCCCAGTCAGTGAGAGACCGTCACAACTCAGTCAACGAAAAGCCACTATACTTTGAATTCCCACTTTACTCCAATGGGCTTTTTGTTTACAACAGTTCTCCCAACTTCCCCCTTTCTTCCATAAAAGAGGAGTCCTCTCCTTTGTTCTCCAGACTTGCTAATGGTTTTGCCATGTGGTCCCAGACTGCAATTTTCTGCTATTCCCAAATAAATCCATTTTTTTTAAAAAAGATTTTATTTATTCATTTGAGACACAGAGATACAGAGAGAGAGAGCATGAGCAGGGAGAGAGGCAGACAGAGAGGGAGAAGCAGGCTCCCCACTGAGCCAGGAGCCCGATGCGGGGCCCGATCCCAGGACCCTGGGATCATGATCTGAGCCGAAGGCAGATGCTTAACCATCTGAGCCACCCAGGCACCCCAATAAATCCATTTTTGTGGGTAACATGACTGGCTGTTTTATTTTTAAGGTTAACACCTGTCATACAAAGAACCAGGAAAATGTGGCCAAATCCTGAGGGAAAAGACAATCGCCAAAACAACCCTGAGATAACACAGGTGTTGGAATATTCAGAGACTAAATCTGCTATTATATGTTGCAGGAGGTAAAGATAAACACACGTGAGATAAATATAAAGAAAGACATTTTCAGCAGAGAAACAAAGCATGAAAAAGAACCAAGTGGAAATTTTGAACTGAAAAGTACAGTATCTGAAAGAAACAAGTTCACTGGATAGGTGTAATAGCACAATGGAGATGATGAGAGAAAGCGGCAGTGAACTTGAAGATCGACAAGTTAACAGAAATTACCGAAACTGAGGAGCAGAATGGGATAAAAAGGCTGGAGAAAACAGAACATAGGAGCATCAGGGACCTGTGCAACAGTATCAGAAGGTCTCACATATGACAAAAACAGGTGAAAGAGGCTGAGAAAAATTATGTGAAAAAGTAATGGCTAAAAACTCCCCAAATTTGGTGAAAGACGTATATTTACAGATTCCAGAAGCTTGGTGAACTTGAACTTAAATTCAAAGAAAATCATGCCTAGATCTGTCAAAATCAAACTACTGAAAGACAAAGAAAAAAAAAATCTTGAAAGCAGCCAGAGAAAAATGAAATACTACATAAAGAGCAAGGATTGAATGCAGAGTCCAGGGTAGCTAGAAGACACTGGAACATCTCCAAGTGTGGAAAGTAAGGGACTATGAATCAGAAGCCTGTATCCAGTGAAAATATTTTCAGTAATGAAGGTGAAATAAAGATGTTCTGATATGAAGGAAAACTTAGAAAGCTATTGTCAGCAGAATTGCCCTAAAAAAAAAAATGCTGAAGCTGAAGGGAAAAGGTACCAGAAGGAGACGTGGATGCTCAGGAATGAAGGAAGAGCAACAGAAAATTTAACTATCTAGGTTAATATAAAAATCCTTATTTTTTTCTCTTAAATTCTTTAAAATATATATGATTATTGAGAAGATAGGCAGGAATAAGGCAGGTGCTCTTAGTTAGGGGAGACTAAGCTACTGTAACAAAAATTCAGTGATTTGAGCAACAGGTTTGGGGCACCTGAGTGGCTCAGTCAGTTAAGCACCAGACTCTTGATTTTGGCTTAGGTCATGATCTCGGTTGTGAGAACGAGCCCCGTGTCGGGCTCCACGCTCAGCAGGTAGTCTGTTTGAGGTTTTGTTCCTTTCTCTCTCTCCCCCACCCCATCCTCCCCCACCCCAATAAATAAACAAACAAATAAATCTTTCAAAAAACAACAACCGGTTTTTTAACAGTCAGAGGGAAGAATTCTCTCCGGCCTTTTCTGCTCACATTTTATTGGCGTCCTTAACTGCAAATTCAGCTGGGAAATGTAGGGAGCTAGGGCAGTCATGCACTGGGTTATAATTCAATTACTTAGGAAAGGCAAATGGACTTTGATGACTAGCTAGCAGCCTCTCCCACAGCAGGTGAAAGAGAAAGGAGGCATTCTGGATAGAGGGGACCATATGAGCAAAGATAAGGAAGAGAGAAGCCACATGTAAGGAACTAATTGGAATTTTGATGTTGTTGAAATGGAAAGAGATAAAGCTAGAGAGGTGGGTGGGGAGCAAATGAAGTTGGATTTTATTCTTGAGGAGTTGAAGGGTTTTATGTAGCAGATTTTCATTTTAGTGAGCTACTCAGGGGTGAAAGATGAGAGAACAGAAGACTAGAGGGGAGAAAACCAATTAGGAACTTAGGGGAATAGTTTTGGTGAGAGGTGATAAAGTTTTAAAAGTAGGCTGTGATAATAGCATAGAGGGGCTGGTTTCGGAAATATCATCTGTCGAGGTAAAACTGGCAGGACTCGAGGAGGAGGGAGAAAGAAAGAAGCATCAAGGCAGGGTCTCCCATTCCTTACAAAGATGACTGGGTGGGTGGCGATATCAGCATGCAGTATCACAGAGCAGGGGCAAATTTAGGGAAAAAAGGAGTTTGGTTTTAGGTGATAAAGATAAAATACTGTGAAGCTTGAATTCCTACAGAATAGTTTTGGTTATATTAAATCTCAGTGAGCCAGTTGGAGGTGTGTCGCTCAAGACAGAACTCCTCCATGGAGGAGGCACACAAAATCCGTTGTAACCTACCTCTCATATAACGTTCTGTTCTCTTTAATACATATACCTTTTGTTTCAGCCACATCAAACTTTTCTCAAAGAGGCCTTCCCTGACTCTGAAATCTAAAACAGGTTCTCTTACATCACAGCCTCTGTACTTTCTGAGGTAACCTGGGAAGGGCTTAATGACCAAATGGATGCGGCTGGAGAGATGGGTTGGAAAGGAAATGATGAGGAGATTTAGGTTTGTAGTCTGGGAGCCTAAGCGGTAGAAGTAACTGGGTGCAAAAGCACATTTCCGATAGACAGTAACAAATAGTCACACGTCTTGAGGCCGCGGTCTGGTCAAAGAGCAAAAGGAAACAAAAAGCTGGTATTGGGTAAGGAACGACAAGGCCTTTCCTTTTCTGCAGGCACACCTCTACTCAGGGATCCTGGAAGTCCACGTCCCGCTCCACTTCCTGACAACAATGGTATCGTTTGCAGGGACTGGAGCCCGTGTGCTTGAAACCTCAGCTTTGGGTCGGGACTTCTCCTGAGCTACTGTTACACTATGTACAGCCCCTGACCTTGGGCACGTTGCTACTTATTCTCTCTGACTTAACCCAGCTGTCTGTAAAACGAGGAAAACGTGGAATTTGGAGTGTTGTTCTGAGGCTTCATGGAGCTAATACCCGTGAACGCTTACATATGAGGTTCAACAAATGTGGTGGAGTGACACATGGACGACATAGCTCAAAGGAGCGAGGACAGCAATTCTAGAAAGCTGTATAAGGGACAGACCGGGCTCCCTTTGCCCTGCGAGGAGACCTGGGCAGCGGGTGCAAAGCCATTCCCTGCCCATCTTGGCCCGCTTTTTCGCCCGCAAGGGCGTGGCCGCGTCTTACCTCTGGATCCGTCGGGTCCCAGGCTGCAGCTTCCGCTCACTCCGCCACGGGGCGCCCGCTTGCCGGGCCTCTGTGGGCTCAGCTGTGTGTGACGCGGCGGCCCGGGCGCCCACGTCCGGTCTCCCAGGCAACCACATAAACTTCCGGTTTGAGACAGGCCGCGGTTGGCGAGAGGCCACATTTCCGCCACGTGACCCCCTCCGGCAGCTTGCCGGCTGAAGGGCTAGCGTCACCGGCCTGCAACGCCCGGCGTTTTCCCGAAGTTCGGACTTCCCGGCCCTGACCAGGGGGCAGTTCCTGGGGAAGTGGCTCCAGCCGGGACGGCCGGGCCTGCAGGGGCGGGGCCGGGGCTTGGCTCCCAGTTCCGGAGGCTCCGCTGAGAAGCCGGGCGGCAGCGAGACCGCTTCTCCTGAGCCGCCGAACTGGAGTTGGAGCTGGAATTCCGTGGGGCCGGGGCCCCGGCTGCCGGGCAGCGGCTCCTCGGGGCCGAGGCCGCGGCGGAGAATGAGGCGGTGGCGGTGGCAGGCTCCCGGCGGAGCCGCCAGGCTGGAAGCATGCTGCGCTGGTTCATCACCGTGATCTTGTGTGCTGCCTTCCTGGGGCTGGTGAGAGCCGGGGCTGGAATCCTCCCAGGCCGGGGCGTAAGCGGGCGTCCTGCAGAGAACGCCGGCTTCGGAGTTCGAGTCTCGCCTCTGCCACTTGCAAACTGTGTGACCTTGGGCGCGTTCGTCGGCCCCAGCCTTGGTTTCCTAATCTGAGAAATGGGCACAGTTCTACTGTTGGAGGGTTATTGTCCAGTGGGAAATTGATTTTCCTAACATATTTGCCAGCTCCAGCAAACCTTCCTACTTCTCCTACGTGGGGTGGGGGGGATAGATGCAAGGGGGTGTTGCCAGGTCTATAGGCCCACCCCCTTGAGCCCACGCAGACCGCAAATTATTACACAAAGCTGCTTTTCTGGGATTTCCTCTTCCTTGTCTGACCAAATTCAGCCAACTCCTTATTTTTGCAGACGGGGCAAAATAGACCCATAGAGGGAAAATGACTTTTCTGGACCACATAGCTGGTTTTAAGTGGTGGAGGCAGGCATAACATGTCTTTCATTCTACCCACAATCCTATGTAAAACAAACCTTTAGATCCTTCAGTTTTTGTTTTTTGTTTTGTTTTTTTAAGAGCGAACTGCGAGGCCAGAAGCGCCGTTTGACAAACCCCTTGGCTGCCCCACGATTCCCTTATTTCTAGAGATCGTCCTCTCATCACTTGTCTTGAATATTGGGCTCTTGGGGGTTTGGTAGGGTTAGTCCTCTGAGGAGAGTCACTTCTCAGAGAGTCCTCTGAGAAAGTCACTTAGCGTCTTTTGCTTGAGCCACAACGGATTCCTAGAGTATTCTAATTTGAAAAAAGAAAAATCATTGCAGACGCTTCTTGAGCCCTCACCTTGTGCCAGGTCCTGTTTTAAGTGCTTTACAAGAAGGAAGTAATTTGATTGGAGATGGAGCTCAGCCGTCCCTGGTCCATGTACCAAGTGCTTGCTCTGCTCTGGCTTGGGCAAGATGCACACCCGTGTTTTGAGCAGAGCAGTCCAATTAGAAAGAATTATTCTTGAAGCATAGACCTATTAGAAGCATTTTTTTTAAGTGTCCAGCAAATATTCTCTGATGGCTTGGGGTTTTTTTTGAAGAAAAATACAGATTTAGAAACGTTTGAATTGTCTATTTTCTGTGTATTTTGTATGTGTCAGAGGAAGGACACCATGTGCATCCAGAAATATTGCTGTTTTAACAACATAAAAAACCAGGAATGCTGTTTTAATGGTTTGATAATTTAAATTTTTAACATCTAAATTCCTGTTATTTGTGCATATAGTATATTTCAAAGGGCACATAACTATTTCAAAAATGATTTTGATGTTACATTTTACTGTTAATACAAGAGTCTTTTGCAGTACTGTTCAAAAAGGAAACAAAATTGTAGCAGAGAGCCAAAGAAATTAAAAAAATTTTTTTTAGACTTGAGAATTGTCAGAACTAGAAAACCAGTAGGATTTGACTCACCAAATGCAGTAGCCTATAGTCTAGGAGTCCTAGAACCGTCATCCTGAATTTTTCCTGAATGTGAGATTTAAGGTAATCCCCTACATTACACTGAAATCCCCTCCTCCTTTTTTATTTTTTAATTAAATTTTTAGATGTGGGGGTGGGGCAGAGAGAGAGAGAGAGAGAGAGGGAGAGAAAGAATCTCAAGCAGGTTCCAAGCCCAGCGGGAAGCTTGATCTCCCAACCCTGCGGTCATGACGGAGCTGAAGTCAAGAGTGTGAAATCCAGAGTCGGCTGCTCAACCACCCAGGCGCCCCTCCTCCTCCCTTTTTAATAGTGAAAAAAACTACCACATAGATAGACATTATTTTAATGATTGTAAATGAAAGGTTTTGTCTTTTTAAATTTTAGGGAATGAGTGTTGCTATACTGGGACCGACATTTCAAGATTTGGCAACAAATGTGAACCGCAATATTAGCAGTCTTTCTCTGATTTTTGTGGGCCGTGCCTTTGGATTTTTAAGTGGCTCAGTGATTGGTGGAGTTCTTCTTGACATTATGAATCATTTTCTACTTTTGGGTAAGTAAAGACCAATTTTAGCTTTTAATGACTTTCAAGGAATTTATATTTTGTTTTTAAAAATGAAACATTTTATGGTTGACAACTCAGATGAGTAGTGTTCAGGCGTCCTCGGTGAAAATCAGTTTTCCTTGGTGCCTGTTTTCATCTCAACAATTATAGAGAATCTATGCAGGGCCACTCTGGAAATTTAGATTAGCCCTAGAATGTGTTACTCTCTTTAGCCTTCCTGACCATCAGTGTAATTTAGGCACCACCCCTGGATTACATACTAGTTGTCCAAAGAACTCTGCTTGTCAGGGTTTAGGGCAGATCTCCTGGGGCCACCAGAGATCAGAATGAATTACTTGAACCTGCCCAGGCTAGGCCCTGAACTGAGAATGAAGGTGGGAAGTACTGGGGGCAAAATGACGTGGGCTAAATTTTTGTCCCAGCCGCCCCATGTTAATGATGCCTCCGGACCACTCTACCTCGCCCTTCAAGTAGATGGCAAAGCTTTTAACTTATTCTTTCTTGAATAAATAGACACGTTTAAAGAAAATCTGGATTAATGTGATAAAAGTGCTTTGGAAGTAAGGAGAATAATTTACTGTTGTTGATGAATAAATGAATAACTGCTCAGATTTCCAAAATGGGTTGAGAACATATAGATCTTGTATTTCCCTCCTTATTCCCAAGCTAAATTACTTCATACATTTCTACTACAAACTATCATAACTGTATTTCATTTTTCTCTTTTAATTTTTTACCTCATACCTAAAAGTCTTTTTATTTATTTGATTATATGTATGTGTGTATGTATGTATTTATTTAGATTAAAACTCTTTAAAATATGAAATATTTAAATAAATTTTTGAGTTGTCAGTTTTCTATAAAACTTTGCACTGTAGTATAAGGTTTGATTATCAGCAATGCTAGAAATGTACTCACATTAGGTTAACTTACATTTTATAGTCCTTAAAGATTATGAAAGCTTGTAAAGGAAATAACCATTTATAGATGCTGAACCTCTTATCCACTTACTATTACCCAATTGTAATTTGACCTACTTTGCATTTATTGGAATTTCTATGATCTTGACTTGATTTATGACTCCTTGCATGAATATTGTTTTTTATAGCTGACTTTTACCTTTCTTCTCAGGGGTGTCAATGTTGACCACCACAGTTGGTCTTTATCTTGTTCCATTTTGTAAGACAGCAGTATTGCTGATTGTCATGATGTCCGTCTTTGGTGTTTCAGCTGGCGTTCTGGATACAGGTCAGTGAGCCCTGCAGGGTCATCTCTGGGAGTAGGGACTTTCTACTAGAAAAAGTAGAGCAGATGACATCAAATTGTCATTTGCAGTGTAAAATGACACCGACCTACTGAATTGCTCATGGGGTCACCCAGTCAGAACTACCCTCTGGCAACTACTCTTCTTGCCAAGTAGGGTGCCTGTTTTTGGCAATTCATGGAGTGAATTTAAGGAATTTTGTTCAGTGAGAGATTATTGATTTGCAGTACCCAAACAGGAAAGGGTCCCCCATGTGGGTAATTATGGTGCAGGTGAGTGGGCTTTCATTTTGGGATAGAACTTTATCAGTGTAGTATGGGAGGAATTGATGGGTTAATAGGTTAAACCAACTTTGGAACCATATTTGGCTGAGGAATCATAGAAGCAGCTATCCAATTTAAAAAGCCCTCTGCCTTTTGAACTAAGAGAAACCTGTGCTGTGTATTATTTTCCTTCTCTCTTTTTTTCCCCCTCTCAAAAGCTCCTGCCTTCCTGCAGGAGATCCTCTTCATGTGTCTTGTTATCTTTTAAAACCTACTAAACAACACACTTGGCATCTGTCCACCCCTAAAACCAGCTCTCTTCTTCCCCTGCTCTATTGTTACCTGATATATCGGGGATATATACTTTAGGCTTAGTTTGGTTGTGAAATTATGGGGTACAATTTTATGTTTGTCTGCAAGTATGTTAAAAAAAGAGAAAGAAAACACAACACTTGATGCTTCTTGCCTTTCACCTTTGTTTCCTGTAATGGGCCCAGCAGAATTCTACAGTGTTCAGGTTTCTGAACATGTGTTTTGCATCTGCTATATACCTAAATAATTTTCCTCAACTGGTTATTTGGTAATTTGTCCATTATCTCATGATAATATATATTTAAAATGTTTACAAATAAATATCCACCTCTTTCCCACCCTCCCCACCCCCTGCCAGCCTCATATTAGAACTGTCTTGTTAAAGGCCTTGGGCTAAGGTGCCTGGCCCTGGGAGGTCGTGGTTTACTAGCTTGTAGAATCCATTTGTGAGTATGTGATGTTCCAAAGCTGAGAGTTCTGTGGTGGTGGTAGGACAGAGTTTCTTAGTCATAAAATCGACCGCGTTGCAAGATTTGTTGACTGAGAATACCTTCATCCTTGTGCCATGTAAAATAGACTCATCCTCCTTCTGATAGTAATGAACTGTTTTTTTGCTAAGTTACTGTGATTAAATAATTTTCCTCATGTTTCATTGGTAGGTGGTAACGTCCTGATCTTGGCTCTTTGGGGGGACAGAGGAGCCCCACATATGCAGGCCTTACACTTCAGTTTTGCCTTGGGTGCCTTTTTGGCTCCACTGCTGGCTAAGTTGGCATTGGGCACGACGGTGTCTGCTGAAAACCACACAGAGCCTGACTCTACCCATTCTGCCCTCAACCAGTCATCTGAAGCTGACTTAGAGTCTCTGCTTGGAGTACCTGACAACACGAATCTACTGTGGGCGTATGCTGTTATTGGTACTTACGTTTTTGTAGTTGCTATCTTTTTTTTGGCTCTGTTTTTAAAGAAGAGCTCAAGGCAGGAGAAAGCAAAAGCATCTGCTCAGAGGTCTCGAAGAGCTAAATACCACAGTGCCCTTCTTTGTCTCCTTTTCCTGTTCTTCTTTTTTTATGTTGGAGCTGAGGTAACATATGGCTCTTACGTTTTCTCGTTTGTGACCACCCACGCAGGCATGACGGAAAGTGAAGCGGCTGGGTTGAACTCCATCTTCTGGGGGACCTTTGCAGCCTGCAGGGGCCTAGCAATCTTTTTTGCTACATGTTTACAACCTGGAACCATGATTGTGTTAAGCAACATTGGCAGCCTGACATCATCCTTATTGTTGGTGCTTTTCGACAAGAGCCCAGTTTGTCTCTGGATAGCGACTTCGGTGTATGGGGCCTCGATGGCAACCACGTTTCCCAGTGGTGTTTCTTGGATTGAGCAGTACACAACCATCCATGGGAAATCTGCAGCATTTTTTGTAGTCGGTGCTGCCCTGGGAGAAATGGCTATTCCTGCAGTAATTGGAATTCTTCAAGGACAATACCCTGATTTGCCTATAGTTTTGTACACCTGTTTGGGGGCATCGATAGCCACTGCTCTTTTATTTCCCATGCTCTATAAATTAGCCACCTCACCTCTCAGTCAACAGCGAAAAGAACACAGGCAAAGCGAGGACCAGAAAGCTTTGCTGTCTAGTTCTGAGCTAAATGACTATGAGGAAGACAATGAAGAAGAGGATGCAGAAAAATGGAATGAAATGGATTTTGAAGTGATCGAAATGAATGATACAGTGAGGAATTCTGTAATAGAGACATCTAAAAATATTCTGATGGAGCCCTTGGCTGAAGTCTCCAGTCAGTTCCACTCCAGTGCAGTGGTACTGGAGTCCCCTCCAGTTGATAGTGGCCAGTCCCTTGTGAATCACCTTGCAAGAAACCAGGCTAAAAGGGACTAACACCTAGAGAAGATGGATTATTCTGACCTCCTTGAATAATCTCCAGTTGTAAAGAAGCCAGTCAGAGCAGAGCATTAACAGATTTTCAGCATGCTTTGGGGATCAAAATTTCTAGGTCAGAGTGTAGCAAATACTACAAAGTTTTGAAAGGTTCTGTAATTCTAGAGTTTTCCATAAAGAACAAATGGTCTCGTGGGGCAGGATCTTATTGTGAGGCTAGTGTTTGGCACGTGGCTGATTAGGTAATGTTTTATGGTCTCCACCCCTCAAAGCATGCAAAGAAGGTGTTTGTTGTTGAGAAGTTGGGTGCTGTTCTAATAGAACGAAACCACCTAGTAGTTGAATTGATTAGCTGAACAAATGATCAGTCATCAGTATTATACCAGGGAAGTAGAGGAGTGTCATTTCATAAAAGAGCAACTTTGAAAATGGACAGAGATTTTTATTAATTGCTTTGCCCTCCCTGTAGTGTTACGCCGGAGAATGCTGATTCCTCATTTGATTTCTGATTTCTATGAGGAGAACACAAAACAGGGCCCTAGAGACCCGGCTTCAGGACTGCTGCTTACTAGTTTTCTGGCCCTGCACTCAGTCCTTAAATAGGCCTTGTTTATCTGTCTCCTGATCTGTGATTCTTTTAGTGAAAATGAGATGATTTTCAAACTAGGAATCCATAAGTTTCAAAGTTTGTGCAAGGAAAAAAAAAAGTTTGTGCAGTGTGTCTGTTAGAAATAACGTAAGTGCCATCCATTCTTCATTTCAAATGAGAAGTGAAACAAAAGTGATAGTTTTGAGAATACTGATTATGAATACATGTCAATTTAAGAGACTCAGTGTTTAATAATTACCTGCAAAACACATTTTTCAGTACTGTGTTTCATCAGTTCTAAGATGCACCTTTTTTCACATTTTTAACATCTCTGAAATCAGAATATGTCTTAAAGTCAGTGGTCACTTAACATTTTGTGACAAAATTTAATTGACAGTTATCCATGTACATATACAAAATAATGTTGCATGTTACAGTCGGTGTCTTACAGTAATTCATTCAATTATGGAGATTTTACTATTTTTACAGGTACTTTAAAAAGTTATTTTTATATGCTGATTTTCTTGATGTTCAAGTGGGATTTGGAGATGCAATGTTCCAAGTTTAAAAGCTGCTTGAGAGTTACTATGTTAGTAGTGGGGCCTACCTTAGTAATGAAGTCTGGGTCTGGGCCTTGCTCTTACAGGGTTTGTTCTTTATTGAGTCTGGCTGGTAATTACATTGTAAGCACTGTAAACTATGCTGCTAGTTTAATTTACGAAGAGGCACAGTCTTTTCCAGTATTTGGAATATTTGTTTCACCCACCCAGGGCTCTTCCTTCCTGACTTTGAAATACCTGGGAAACCAAAATAATGATTAGAAAGGGGCTTGGTGGGCGCCTGGGCGGCTCAGTTGGTTAAGCGACTGCCTTTGGCTCAGGTCATGATCCTGGAGTCCCAGGATCGAGTCCCACATCGGGCTCCCTGCTCAGCAGGGAGTCTGCTTCTCCCTCTGACCCTCCCCCCCTCATGTACTCTCTCTCTCTCATTCTCTCAAAATAAATAAATAAATCTTAAAAAAAAAAGAAAGGGGCTTGGTGGCCTAGAGGTCAGGGATCACAAAGGGTACTTCATATGAGTGTGGCAAAGCTGGTGTGAGCTCTCCTTTGATAAATGACTAGCACTGATGACAGCTTTTGTTTACTTCTCTTTACCATGTTTTATGGTGAATAACATTTAATTTCTACCTGCTTGCAGTATGTTTGCTTTCTCTTATCTAATTTCTACAAATTTGCCTTTGTTTCTTCTCGAGTGAAATGTATCTTTTTTGACCACTGCTCATTCACCTTCAATACCTGCCATAATATGGGTTTGTATATAACCTAGCAATTTTGGAGAGGGCCGGTGGAGAAATTAACAGTAAAAAGCGTATTCTTCTTGCTCTTTTTGTATTGTACTTTTCTCTTAGCTACAACTTGGAGACCACCTGTGTTCCATTTACTGCTTTTTCTCAGGTTGTTGGAATTCAGGCAGTAGATGCTATTTGGCAGCTGGGAGGCTTGCTAGAACAGGGATTCTATCTGCAGCATCTACATTTAATGGGTAGAAGATGCAGCTCAGGGAGAAAAGGATGATAATAAGAACATGGCAGAAAATTTGGAAATCCACACTGGAAAGTCCACTAGAGTTCCACAAACCAAAATGTGAATGGCCATATGAGATTGCAGGCATTGTTAAAGTTTGATGTATTTCCATATTGGAAGGATAAGACTTCGTACAATTCCAAGAATTAGCATTCATTCTAATAATCAGTCCTTAGGTAAGTGTCTGCTGATATACAAGTAGCCAATACTGAAGTTTTCTATTGCTGAATAACAAATTTAGCAGTTTACAACAGCATTTTTGTTTATTTTAAGTAGGCTCCACGCCTAGTGTGGAGCCCAACGTGGGGCTTGAACTCACAACTGTGAGATTGAGACCTGAGCTGAGATCAAAAGTTGGTTGCCTAACCGACCGAACCATCTAGGCCCCCTAACAACAGATATTTTTTGTCTCACAGTTTCTTGAGTCAGAAATCTGGGCATGACTTCACTGGGTCCTCTGTTTAGGGTCTTGTGGGGCTGCTGCAGTCAAGCTGTTGGATAGAGCTATGCTCCATTTTGGAGCTTAGGGTTCACTTATAGGGCCATGTATGTGGTTGACAGTATTCAGTTCCTTGCTGTGGCATGCTCAGGTCCCTGTTTTTTGCTGGCTGTGAGCTCCCATCAGTCCCAGTTCCTAGAACCTCCCACGGTTTTTTTTGCCAGGCAGCCCTCTGTAGATCTCTCACAACGTGGCAGCCCATTTCTTCAAAGCCAGCAGGAGAATGGCTTTCTCTCACACCAGTCTGCTAAGTTGGAGTCTTCTTTCTTTCTTTCTCTCTCTCAAGATATTTATTTATTTATTTATTTATTTATTTATTTATTTATTATTCATTATTTATTATTTATTATTTATTTATTTATTATTTATTTATTTATTTATTTATTTATTTATTTGAGACAGAATGAGAGAGAGCACATGAGAGGGGGGAGGGTCAGAGGGAGAAGCAGACTCCCTGCCGAGCAGGGAGCCCGATGCGGGACTCGATCCAGGGACTCCTGGATCATGACCTGAGCCGAAGGCAGTCGCTTAACCAACTGAGCCACCCAGGCGCCCTAAGCTGGAGTCTTCTTTAACATAATATAATCACAGGAGTGGCATCCCCTCACCTTTGCAATATGCTCTTGGCTAGAAGCAAGTCACGGGTTCGACCCAAACTCAAGGGAGAGAGGCTAGTACAGAGATGTGACTCATTGGGTGTTACCTTAGAGTGCGTGTGCTGTACACACTCTGGTACTTGCAGAACCAGGGTTCCAGAGAACTAAAAGTTGGAGCTGGGGACAAGAAGCCCTCAGCAGTCACCGAAAGTGATGATAGGTACCAAACTGAGTGAGTGGGGGTGGGGGGTGGAAGGCTCCATTAGGCCAGGCCAATGAACCTGATAGAAGAGACTCTGTTTGTGGGGCAATGGATGGGCTAACTCAGAGTTAGGCTTTTTTTCCCCTTGACGTTTTATGTTCTTTCCCACTGTGATTTTAACTTGTTCAAATGCAGCTTCCTGTAAGAGAAATAGGTAAATTTCAGTTTAGTTATATTTTCATAGTAATAATTTTCAAAGTAAAGATGCTTTGAGGGCATCTTTCAGTTACTCTTATTTTTTAAAGAAAAATCCTTTTTAAAAACCTGTTTTTATCATAAAAGTAATGAAGGTATTAAAAAGTCAGCTGGAAGATTAGGGAAGTACATAAAAATGTAAGGGACAAGTATAATTTATGCAAAGTTTTTATTTATTTATTTATTTTTAAAGTAAGCTCTATGCCCATTGTGGGGCTCGAATTCCCTGCCCCTGCAATCAAGAGTCATATGCTCTACCAACCTAGCCAACCAGGCACCCTTGTATAAGTAATTTATAATTCTAAACACTTGGAAAAGTTCTTAAGATTTCTCCTCAACATAATTTCCTGGGTAAAGGGGTAAAAAAAAAAATTCCCTCCTACCAGATAAAGTTTCAGAAACAACTTGAATTTTGTGTCCAGAGTGCATTGCCACTGCAGTTGATGGACTGGTTATTAGTTTGAAGAATTGTAATTTATTAAGAAAAACAACAAACCTAATTGATCAGTGGAGTAACACCCTCCTGTGTGAGACCCGGATTACATGTAAAATGATTTCGTTTCAGGTAGAATCATTGAATAATCAGAATAGCTTTCTCATAACCAGAACTTTTGGTTTACCATAGCAGTATATCCTGCCGCTTAAAAGTTATTACTAAAATACAGCTTAAATTTCTTAATGGAAGTAGGTAACATTCTTCTGGGATACCCTGTATCTGTATCTGTTAAGTGCCACTTGTTTTGTTCACAGTGCTCTGAATGTGTGTATGTTTGTGTACATGAATCCACAGATACTGTGTGTGTTTGATACTTTCCTATACTGTAAGGGTGTAGGGGTAGAGGTGCTAGAGAAGGGATACAAAAAAGCTTAAGGTATGATTCCAAGTTTGTTAGAAATGGCCCTTTTTTTAATTGAAATTTTTATTGCAATTATAGATTTACATGCAGTTGTGCCTAGTGTTTTTGTTTTTGTTTTTTCTAAATTTGTTGAGTGAGGGCTACTTGCTCAATCTCGAGAGTAGAGAGCTAGGCTAGTGCTTCTCGTGTGTTAATGTGCATTGGAATTGCTTGTTAAAGTATAGATTCTAATTCAGTAGTACCTGGGTTAGGGGCTGGGATTCTACATTTCTAACAAGCTTTTACATGATGGGGAGCTATTGGCCTGTGGACTGACCACATTTTGGGTAGCAAGATTCACTTTTTGAGAGGGTCAAATTCTTTGCTACTCTAGGGAATTCAGTTTGTTTTGTTTCAGCTTTTCTAAATATGACCCTAAATCTGTAGGAGTCTGTATTCCCATGCGCCCCCTCCTCTCTCTTAACACACAGACCCTAGGACTCTATTCTGAGTTCTCTTCAGTCCCTCCATTTACTGCATTGGATGTTGAATATTTATTTCTTATGTCTGTTGAATGCCTCCTATTTGGCTGTCTCTGTGAGAGGTGTTATGTTACACTGGTGAAAGATCAGAAGGTTCCTACCTCTGTGGAACCTACCCTCTAAAGCAGTACCATCCAGTAGAATTTCCCACAATGATGGGAACATTTTATATCTGCACTGCCCAGTAGCCACTGGTCACATGTGGTGAATTGAGCCCTTGAAATATGGCTAATACACATAAAATGAATTTTTAATTTAAATATCTACATTAGCTGGTCGCTGCCATATTGGATAACACAGGTCTAGTGGGAGAAACCAGGTATCAAACAAATAATCACACAAGATGTTTCCAGGAAGGCTTTATCTTCTGTTATACTAGAAGTTTACAAGTATCTGGGGTCAGAAAAGTTGTGCTAGATACCTTCTCAGATGGCACAATATAAATTATCATGGCACTTAAGGAAAGGCCTAGTTTTCCTGGGTCCTGATGGTAGAAAGTTGTGCTTCGTGATCTGGAAGAGAAGGTTTGTCTTTCCTTGTGTGTCAAGGAGGCAAACCAAGGCTGGTCACCTTGTTTGTCAGGAGGACTTAAGCTCTTTCCCTTT